CAGTATAGAGTTTCCTCAAAAAAGTAAAAATAGAATTTCCAGATGATCTAGCAATCCCACTTCTGAGTATATATCCAAAAGAATTGAAATCAATCTATTGAAGAGACATCTTAATTTCCAGATTCATTCCAGCATTATTCATAATAGCTACATTATGGACTCTACCTAAGTACTCATCAACTGATTAATAAAGAAAATACAATATATGTACACAATGAAATACAACACAGCCTTTAAAAAATATTGTCATTTGTGACAAACATGAATGGACCTGGAGGATATTATGTAAATGAAATAAGCTAGGTATAGAAAACACTGCATGGTCTCACATATGAAATCTTAAAAAGCCTCATGTATAGTTAGAGTGGCATGTAATTACTGGAGTTTGAGGGATGCGGTGAGAGAGACAGATGTTGGCCATGGAATACAAATTTCTAGAGGAGTCAACTTTTTGTAATATAGCATTATATAAAACCAAGATCCAAGGTGATATAAACCCTACAGCTCAACACCTCATACTTATTTTTTGCCCTTTACATTTCAAAGTGCTTTTCCATACACTATTCAATATTTCAGGTATCATTGTACCCTGGAAAGACCAGGGTACCTCCAAGCAAAGGACCTCCAAGATTTCATTGCATTTATCACATCTATAATTATAGCCTACTAAAACCAATCCCTTGAGAGTGGGGACCTGCTCACTGATTCTCTGAAACCTCAGAGGTTGTGACATTAGCTAATAGAAGGTAAGTCAGTCACCATCAAAGTATTCCCATACTGTCACATTTTTCAAGAATAGAGCCTAATTTTTATCTCCTTGAGTATGGGTTGGCCTTTGTGACTCAAATTTTAATGCATGGAATACAGTGGAAGTGATCATATGTGACTTTCAAGACTAGAGCATGAAAGGTTTCCTCCTTGCTTTGTTCTCTTAGGTTGCTTGCTCTGAGGGAAGCTAGTTGCCCATGGTCATACACTCAAGCAGTCCTATGAGGATGTCCTTTTGACAGGATACCAAAGTTTCTCACCACTAGCCATCTGAGTAAGCCACCTTAGGGGCAAAAATCTTCAACTCAGTTTAGCCTTCCAATAACTGCAGCCCTATCTGACATCTTGGCCATAACCAGGAGACCTCTGGCTACAACAACCCAACTCAGCTGTTCCCACTGCCTCACCCAAAGAAACTGAGCTAACATTGGGTATTTTAAGCCATCAAGCTTTGGCACACAAGCAATAAACAACTAATCCACCCATGATGGTAAGTAATAGTAGTAAGGGAGATAAAGTAATTTCATTACTTCTAAGATTAGAAAAATAACAGGGAAAGTAATACTGCATCTGTCATTTTTAGTTTAGTATTCTAAGTGCTCCACACACACCATGATCACATTTACTCTTCATAAGACTAGCATGAGACAAATGGTAATATTTTCATTTTACATATAGGGAAATATAGACTTAGATTAAGTCAACTAGAGAAAGTGCCAATGAGTGGCCAAAATTAAAAACCCAGGTGTCCTTGTTTCCAAATCTCATACTTTTAACTATGGTGCCCATGCTGTCTCTATACATGTTTGTTGACTGAGAATGCATGAAAGGTATCCACCAAGGCTCCTTTCAAAGGTTCTATGCATATTTGCCTCTACCATTCCCTTTCTCCTTTGAAAATGCTAAAAATTATGTTGTGTGAACATACTCTTATAAAAAACCAATATCACCAAGACTGGATTCATTATTATATATTTATTAGTATTATTATTATATATTTATTAGTATATTAATTTTTTTCACTAATTTTAAAGGAAGTTAAAATTGAAACATTTCCATGGGCCTCCAAAAGACTTATGGCTCTAGGTGGTGGGCCTCATGGGCTGATGGATAGATTCTAGGCCATGGTGTCAATTGTGCACAGAAATCAAGCAATTGAAAAGAAAAAGAAATCCCCAAAGAAAAACATTTGATGTTACACATTGAAAGTCAAAGAAATCATGTCTATTGACAGTTTTGCTGTTTTTCTCCTTCTCATGGGCACTGGGATACTAGAAAACAATAGCAACCCATGGGGCTTGCTTTGGAGTGGGCAGAGCATACTGTGCATGTGGAGCTCAGTTTCTCAGGATATCAGGTTGAAAGAAAGGATTCCAGGCCAGGAATTAAATCTATCTTCTAAGAGAAGCTGGCAGTGCCTCTCTACTCAGTTGCTTTCAGCTGGTCTTGAAAGGAGAGTTCATGAGAATAGTTTTGAGATCCTGCTCCCTGAGATCCTCCCATTCCTCTCCAGGTGAGATGCCTGAGGGCAGGAGGAAAGCCCTTAGAGTTAAGCACCTGGAAACCACAGAGAGTAATAACGAAAAGAACAGTGATTTTAAATCTAGTACAAACTTCAGCTTCTCCACCTGATAGCTGTGTGGTTTGGGATGGATTCATTTTGGGGTCCTTTAGTTTTCTCATCTGCAAAATGAGAGCTATGTGGCAAACACAGTTAGTGCTCACCAAATATCCCCATGTTCCCCTCTAGTTTATAGCTAATAGCTGACCAGGAGACTGTCAGAAGAAGAAGAATGCAGTTAAAATCTGATATATTCCACATCTCTCCTCCTTCCACAGCAACTTTAGAAGCTGCATGTTCAAAGAAAGGACAAGTGACCCAAATCCATGAGTTACTGTCTGCAAGAGAGCTATGCAAGAGGGCCCCCAGACCCATATAAAACTTTGAGTGACAGTAAAATAAACTTCTATTGGTTTCAAGGTTATATGTTACTGCAGCACAACTTAGCTTTTCTTGACTAGGAGAGATTATAAATGCCAACTTTGGTGCATCATGAGGACTCAAGAAGATGAATGTAAAGCATCAAAAATAGTAAATTCACATTTTTCCTTGTCTATTTTTGAAAATAGCATTTTATCCTAAAGGATTAATCACTGTTTAGCAGCTATTGCAGACTGCTTTCTGATAATATCTTAGTATTGGGACCTAGCCACAGAATTCTGAAAAAAAAAAATGAAGAATGTATACAGCCTCCTCAACAGGACTCCTGTCGCCCACAAAAAACAGTACAAACACTTTGCAGCACCTAAATTCAACTCAACTAACTACTGGAAGTGTAAAAAGAAGTAGGTGGGGGAAATACAGAGATAGCATTTCTGGCATTATTTTAAATATCTGTGGTTGTGTTTTATAGCTAGAGACTTGCAAATGCTGACACAGGAAAATTACTCAGGATTTTGATCAAGGACTTGCTAGAGTCCCTAGAAGCAGGATACTCTAGGACGTTACCTCATCTACAGTCTCAGCCTCTGTGATTCAAGACTTGTAAACATGACAGACCAATATTGTGTATTACAGAAGTGCAGGTCCAAAATAAGGGCTTGTCCCTACCTCCTGGAGCTCTTTCTCCCCAACACAGGCCACTCTAGGATTGGACAGCCTCCTGTCTGGTCACCTCTTCCTTAGGCCACCTGCCTGAATAGGGTCTATCAAAAAGGAACGATAAAATCCTGCTTGGCAAGCCTTTCCAGAGTTCATTTCATTGTGATTTCTCTGGGTGCACATTGGATTGACATAGCAATTACAAGTCAGCCCCTACCACTGACAGAAAAGCTATAATCACTCAGGCTTTTCCAAAGCGCCCTCTCAAATAACATCATTAGTTCTGAATAAAGTTCTCCCTTTTAACACTTTGCAATTATGGCCATGACATTCCTATTTTATAATACAAAGTTCTTCTGCCATTTAATGAAAAAGAGTCTACTTTTAAAAGCATGTACTTACTAACCTAAGTATCTGGGTTAATTTTCTAACATTCAAACAAAGCTAACAAGGACAAGTAACTTTCCCTGCCCCCGCCCCTTGTGCACTCCCTTCCCAGTCCACATATTGTATTTGGAAAGGGCAAGTAAATAAATCCCATTATTCTCTAGGACTGGGAGCTTGTTACTTGAAATAGTTGACCCCTAAATAAGAAAGTTTGGGTTTCCAGGGTGGGGAGGGAGTTGAGCATGGGTGAGGAGGGCTCTGGCTGAAAGGAAAAAAAACCTGCATGCAGAATGATAAATTCATTTGGAAGAGCTACCAAATGTACTTTTCTTCATCTCATTACATTTCCAATAGAATCTTCCCTCCCCTTACATATTGACAGGCAACAAACACCCTGTTGATTTTTCTCTACCCTGTTCTGCCACCCATCCTGTGCCAGGCACTATGCTAGGTACTGGACCTTCTTCATCTCATGTGATCCTTGCCAAGAGCCATATAAGGTAGGAATTAAATTGTTTAAAGATGAGGAAACAAAGCATACAGAAATTAAGCAACCACTCTAATGCCCTAAGCTAGTCCTTAGGGCTAGATTCAATGATTCAGTTTCTAAGACCTCTAGAGGGATAGCACTGGGGTTGGGATGCCCAAGGAAAGTGATACTTGAATTATATTACCGCAGTTCTCCCCTTGGCAGGGAGCTAGCCAAAAGAACTGGGAATATGGTCTTTGGACTGCAGAAGATTGACTGGAATCTGATGGAGACAGAAAATAAAGGGTGGACAGCCACAAGAATTTCGTCTTCTACAGCAAGATGGATTCCAGCACACCACAATCCCACATTATCTAGCCGAGATCAAGACGTTGGCAGCTCCAGGACTGACACAGACATAACTAAGCCGAGGAACACAGAGCGTGTAGCTAATTAGACACGACCTCGCCACTGTCTAGACAAGCCGTACCTGCAAGTCCCCTTCAACCCCACAGTGCCGCAACATCAGCTCGTGCTCCAGCCCTAATATATAGGTGATAGAACCTCTTCCCTTGCACGCAACCAGCAGGTGGCTGACACTTCTCCGGTGCAGGGGCCCTCGAAACTCAGGTAATAAAACCCTCCACTTGGTCTTCCGAAGAGCTCCCGTTTTCGAGCGCGCACCAGCCTGCAGGCTTCCGCCCGCTCTACCTTAGGCTAAACTTCCTCCTCCCTCATAGTTCCCCATCCCCAACGCCACAGCCTGTCCCTCACCTGCGTGGTGGAGGGCAAGGGCTGCACAGCCCGGCGGCGGCGACCGAAGCGAAACTTGGCCGCCTTGTAGATCTTCCAGTAGACAAACAGTACCACGCCAAGCGGCAGGTAAAAAGCGCCGCAGGTGGAGAAGACGGCGTAGGAGGGTTCCTGGCTCACCTGGCAGCGCTGGAGCTGAGCATCGTACGCCTCGCCCCAACCAAAGAGCAGAGGGGCGAGGGCAATGAGCGCAGATAGTGCCCAGGTGAGCGCGATCATGACAGCTGAAGCACGGCGGCGGGTGCGTAGCGTGTATTGCAGGTGACGCGTGATGGTCCAGTATCGGTCCAGAGCGATGGCCGCCACGTTCCAGATACTGGCGGTACAGCACAGCACGTCGAAGGAGATCCACACCTGACACAGGCTCCTACCCAGCTGCCAACGTCGCCCGGCCGACAGCTCGCTCACTAGGCTCAGGGGCATCACCAGCGCTGCCACTAGTACGTCCGATACGGCCGTCGAGGCCACCAAGTTGTGCGGCACTCGATGAAAGGCGCGGACACGCAGGATGGTGACCAGAACCAGCAGATTCCACAGAAAAGTGGCCGCGATCAGCAGTATGAGAAGCGTCACCACCAGCACGGTGAAGACGGAGAAGGGCGGCTCCCGGCCAGGCAGGTCGGTGCCTCCTGGGGTGGTCCCGAGGATCTCGCTCGGGGTTGGGGTACTGGTGCAAGTCTCCGGTCCTACGAGAAGGGCGGCTCCGTTGGTGGTCGCCAAGAGGTTAGCGGCTTCCATGGTGCTCTGGCTTGGGGCTGCAGGGCAGGGGACGTTCGCTTTGTCCCGAAGCTGTACCTGGATAGGGTAGGTGCAGGCACAGAGAGAGGGCACTGCGTACTCAGGGGAGGACCCAAGTGGATTTAGGTCGCCCTATCCTGATCTCTCTTCTGATTTGCAGTTTCTCTTTATTGCTTCTGCCTGAAGCCCTCGTGGACCTTGGACCCTCTTTTCCGGTGGGGGAAAATGAGAGACTGGACCTCTCCACTCTCTCCAGCTCCGTTCAGCGCCCTGCTCCCTCCCACCTCACCGCGGTCCCCGGGGCAACCCGCTGTCTGAAGATCGGGAATCCGAGAGCGCTGCTCTGGGTCCGCGCGCCGGGGCGGGCTTGGAGCGTTGCCCCCACCCTCCCCAGGGCGGCCGAAGCTGAGCTGCTCCTGGAGTTGGGCAGGAGCGCTTTGGAGAACCTACCAATAAGAGCCAGACCTGCAACGTCGTCCCCACCCGTCTCGCGGCTTCTGGGGGCGCGGAAAGCACCCTGACTGCGGTAGTCTCCCACAAAGGTTTAGAATCCTATAGGAATTCCGTAGCCGCCACCTCCGTGAATCCTCGGACCTGTCTGGTGGCACTGTTCGACACCGAAAACGTAGGGTGCCGCCGCATACCGGCCAGAGGGGTTTTGATTTCTTGGAATCGAGGAGTCTACCGGTGCCTATTGGAAAATTTTTTTTTTTTTAAAGAAAGAAAGAAAAAGATAAAGCTCCTAGACAGCCCCCTGCCCTTGTACTGCCCCTTCATTCGCAGCCCTTCTGCCAGGAGAGGGCTACTAAGTACCTTGAAAAGTTCACTCCCTGGTTATATGCCCCCCCCCCCCCAAAAAAAAAAAAAAAAAAAGGCTTCTGAGCAGTTTGGCAAAGACCAGGAAGAGGAATTTATCCCCATCCCCAAATCACCCGAACTTCCAGCGCCCTCCCTTCCTTTTTACTTTCTAATATCCCTGTCTTCCAAATTCGTACTGTAGGGTTTTCTTTTTTGTTTGTTTTTGCCATGCTAGGGATGGAACCCAGGGCCGCATGCGTGCTAGGCAAGTGCTTTACCACTGAACTACACCCCTAGTTCCAGGAGTTATTTTTATTGACCCTTGGGCAAAGGCAGAAAACACTTAAAAACACGAGATTCCTCTCACTCTCTCATTCTCCACCAACTCCAACTCCTCCTTTTCAGTCTCATACTTAAAAAACAACAACAACAACAAAAACCCTCAATTGTAATGAAATCAACCTAAAGCTGCATCACTTCTGTTGGTGGGAGTAGAAGATAAATATAACTGACACCCCCCCCCCCCTTCATGGCAGCATAATTGGTTTGTTACTAACCCTCTGAGAACAGAGCTGCAGACTAATCTGGGCGCTCAGGAGACCCCAATGGGCCCTGCACCCTGAGAGTGAGCTCCCAGAGAGGACTCTGGAAAGGCCACCCACGATGAAGGCAGGTGGAGGGATTTTCTTCCCTGGTTCACCCAGCAGCCCTACCCGCTAGAACCTGACTGAACCATCTTCTCATGCTGGTTGGACACCCTTAAGAATGTCCTCTCCTTTACCCTCATTTGTTCCTTTACATGTAGGCACTGTCTACATTCTTGGTACTATGCATGACAGTTCTCACTCACATAGGACAGCATACTCACAGGACCTAAAAAGTAACATTAAAGGAGTCAAAGTAAAAGTACTTGTTTTTATTAACTACTTAAAGGCTTAAGCTTCAAGTAGTTAATAAAAACATCAGAAGTGGTGAATTCTTCAGAGAGCACAGAGACAGGGAAGTGGGGATCAGGGAGGCTTCTTGGAGGAGGGGGCTGTTGAGATTTTACAGAAGTGTAAGGAAGGAGTTCAGATTGGGAGAGGAGGAGAGCAGGCCAGCTCTACTGTGAATGGCTGAGTGGAAGCCACATGCACATGGGGTGTACATGCAGGTAGATATTAAGGATCCAGAAGAAGGCAGAATTTGGGAGAATTAACCTAAAGCAGGGAAACATCCTTTATAATATAATGGAGACTAGCCTTCAAAATACTTTTGCAATGATATCCTCCCTCATTTTTCAAATAAGCATAACAAAAGCAATGAATACTATAAATGTATAAATATTCATATTGCACCAGTCAGATATATGACATGCTTTGATTCTCAGTCTTTGCTCTACTCCACATACATTTTTCATGCTTAAAATCAATTTTTTATTTTGCCAGTTTCTCTTAACACTTTTCATGCTCCAATATATTCTCTTCCGAGTTAACACTTTTTAATGTTGTGCCATTTTACCAATTGGGCTTTCTAACACAGTCTTCTCATCTTAAAAGTGGGGATAAATATCCATGTTTTGAGATTGTTATAAAACTAAAGTTAGGTAAGACCAGTAATACAGGGTAAGTATTCAGTAAATGATGACCATTCCTGTTCTTTTTAACCAAACTTTAGCTTCAGTTCTCTTCTAATCTTTATATAAGATTGTTTTGTGTTTATTTTTATGTAGTTTTAATCTCACAAATATTTGTAACAACAAAACACTTAATTTCAATAGAACTTACAACCTTTGTAGCACCATTCCCATTTACAGATTAAGAAAAAAAAACTAAGATTTGTCAACTTGCTGCAATGGACTAAATTGTATCCTCCACCCCCAGAGTCATATGATGAAGCTGTAACCTCCAATGTGACTGCATCTGGAGGTAGGACCTATAAAGAGGTAATATGATCCAATGAGATCAGAAGGGTAAGAGCCCTTATCTGATAGGATTAATGTCCTTTTAAAAAGAGGAGAGAGCTCATTCTCTCTCTCCGCTTGTGAAGACACAGAGTGTAATGTTTAATTTGAATGGTCAACTTGATTGGATTAAAAGATGCCAATGATTAAGAGGTTTCTCAGTGTGTCAATGGGGGTGTGTCTAGCAATGACTGACATATGGAATAGTGAACTGAAGCAGAGATGCTCCCTAAGTGTGGGCAGCACCATCCAATAGGTTGGAGGCTTGGATGGAATAAATGTTGGAAGAACAAGGAAGCAGCAGCAGATAGAAACTGGATTCTTCTTGATTGCTGCTGTTATTGCCTGAAGCCACCAGGCTCCAGCTCCTTCACTCTTCCAAAGTGGACTCTGCTGGTGAGTCCACTCTCCAGAGAGTTTTCAGAAGCCTTCCTTCTGGGGTAGTATTGTTGATCCCTCTTGTGCTGAGGGTTCAGCATCTTGGACCACACAGCTACTGTTTTCTCCAGTTCTCCAGCCTGCAGACAGCCATTGTGGACTATCCAGCTTCTGGTTGGGTAAGCCCAATCTAATAAATCCCCTTTTTATAATCATAAATATATCTCCTGTTGGTTCTGTTTCTCCAGAGAACCCTGACTAATACACAGTGTAAGGCTTCTGCCCACAAGCCAGAAAGAGAGTCCGTATCAGGAACTGAATTAGCCAGCACCTTGATCTTGGATTTCTAGCTTTCATAAATGAGAAATAAATTTCTATTGTTTAATTCAGCTGGTGTATGGCATTTATTATAACAGCCTGAGCTAACTAATTCATTATAACAGCCTGAGGCTCCCAGCTGGAATTTAACTTTCTGATTCCCTATTCCTCTTTTGTCCATGACACCAATGTACCCTCCATTTACTGGACTATGGAGTTCAAGAATTGTTTTCATTTAACTTTATTAGTCAGTTTTACATCGCCATGATCATAATACCCAAAGAGACCAACTTAGAGGAGGAAAAGTTTTATTTTGGGCTCATGATCTCAGAGGTTCAGTCCGTGGTCAGCCAACTCCATCACTTTGGGCCTGAATGAGGCAAAACACCATGGAAGAGCAGTGGTAGAGGAAAGCTGCTCACCCCATGGCAGCTAGAAGCACAGAGAGAGGAAGAGTTAGGGCATAGTCCCAAGGGCATAGTCCCAGTGACCCCTCCCCCCACCAGATGTCTACAATTGACTTTCAAATAATTAATCATCAAATGGATCATTCCATTGATTAGGTCACAGCTCTCAAAAGCTAATTGTTTCACATCCTGGCTTAACATAGGAGCTTTGGGGAGACATCTCATATCTAAACCATAGCATAAAAAGTCCTTATGCTCTTCCTTTAGAAGACTCTTTTGTATCCCAATTACAAATCTCCTTGGGGTTCCCTTCATCTCTAACCACTCCCCTGCCCAGCTGATTGCAGTCCAGCCACACTGACCTTCTGCAGACCCGAACATGATGTGCACGTTCCCTCTCTGGGCTCCATGGCTGTTGTACCATCTTCAATAATAATGCTTAAGGCATCATTTTCTGACTCCACTTGAGTCTCTGCTTTACTGCTTTCATCTCAGGCCGTCCCTCACCACTGGATCTATGATTAATCACTCTACTGGAAGGTGTTCTCTAACCCCCCACTCTATTTTCCTTCTCTTCCTGGCACATCACGGAAATGACATCATACTATTTATTTTATTTCCTTTCCCATTATCTGCCTTCCCTACTGAAATGTAAGCTATTTGTGTGTAGGAAATTTGTACCCTGAAGTACAAATCCTCAGACTCTGGCTCCATGCCAGGCACACAGTAGGTAACTCAATACATTTGAATGAAGAAAGGATTGTTGGCAGAGGTGATCCACAGGCTTGAGCGTCCTTGAACATTTTTGTTGGGCGTGCTTAGAAGGTGAGTCCCTGACTGCTTGTTACCTAGGCCATTTCTCACAGCTGTGCTTGTAGGAAGCAATCTTAAAGAATGAGGTAACCTCTTCCCTGGGCAAAGGGCAGGCTTTCTGCCACTTATTATTAAAGTGATGAGTCCCAAGCTCAGGGCTCTTTCTGCCACCCCACAGGAATTTGGGAAAACACGGGCAACTAGTGCAAACAAACTCAAAACTCTGACTACAACTCCCCGCCCACCCCCGCCGACCGGTACTGAGGATTGAACTCAGGGCAGCCCTGGCTAAAGCTTTTGCCCAGAGTAATAAAGTCATTTGTCTCTGACCCAGTGATCTCCTGTTCTCTCCCAGCTTCTATGAAATGGTAACAAGGTTGCTCATTAGATTAAAAGTAGGGTCAAATCTCAAGAATCTGCACAGTACTTGATGAACATTCAGTTGATTTATTTTTAAAATTATAATTGGCAGAATTTTTTCCCTTTGGGGAATAGTTCCTTGATACATTTTCTCCGAAATTTATTAGCTGAGTTAGAATGTAGGAATGATTATTTCTTTTTGTATATTCTCAAATTGTACCTCAGAGATATTTAATGGATTCACTGTTCTCTTAGCTGTGGTTTTGGAGAAATGAGAGAAATTGACAGCTTTGTCCCAAATCAATTTTTTATCATTAAAAAATGTTTAATTGGTATGCTATGGTGTATTTTCATTGTTTAAATTTTAGTTCTTTAATGGCTAAAAGGGCTGCATTTTCCCCACATAGTGATTTATTATCTATATATTCTTTTGTAGAAATATTTCATTCTTTTTTAAAGGACTCTAGGTAGTGACTTTATGGATATTTATCAACTTTGTAAATTGATGTCCTTGCCACCATCATACTTTCATCAATTTCTTTGCGTTTATTTGATTATATTTTGTTAAATGACTTCTTGTTTTATACGATAGAACACATCAATCTTGTCTCCATCAGTATCTTCAA